AGAGGGGGGGGGGGGGGGGGATGGCTAGAGAGAGAGAGAGAGGGATTTGGGGGAAGAGAAAAAGGAGTTTCCAGCTTGGTTTGATGACGTGGCAAGGGATTTTAAAACTCCAAATTAGATTAATTTGAAATTAGTTTAATCATGAAAACTTTCCTAATTTGGATTTCCAAATTAGGAAATAATTCAAAAAATCTGAATTTCAAATTTCAAATTTGAAATGGGTGGAGAAAGGATTGACCGGATGGGAAGGGGCGTCGGCAAGGTGGGCGGCCGGAGGTTGTGAGCTTGGCCGGCGGCGGGAAGCCCTGAGGGGCCGGCGGCAGGAGCTATGGGGAAATTTATGTGGAGCTTTCTTGTGGGAGGGAGAAAAGTAAATGGATGAAAAGAAATGCAAGGGTTAGCAATTACTTAGAGAACTCACTAAGAGATCTCAAGGAAGAACTCACCAAGAGATCTTCATGCACTCACAAAGAGAACATAAAAAAAAAATTCATTCATCCAAAAATTATAATCCAATACAATGCATAAGGCCTCATATAAATAGGCCGAAATGAAAAGAAAAGAAAAAAGACACAAATGTCCTTCCAGGCTACATAAACGACTCAATGCCCACAGGGGCGAACTAGTAAAACAGAAAATACAATCATAAAAATAAAATGCACATAAATCAGAAGTAGAGGCTCTGAATCGTCGCCGTCGATCTGCATCTCCGGCGATGGTACACGTGTCGAAATCTGATGTCCCCATCATTTTCTAACTCAAGCAACGGACGAAAATGACCAAAACTGACTTTCTCTCTCCTCACTCTCTCTTCTTCCATGACAAGCCAAGAGCAAATGAGGAAGGTGGCGGCACTGGGGTGATTTAATGCTTATGATTTAGAATAAAATATATACCAAAATACTGTTAGTGGCCTAGCGCCGCAACACTCTGACCCAACGCCATTGTGCTCTCAAGCCTAATGTTGAAGCGCTACAAAGCACAGCGTTGAAGCGCTTAAGTTCTAACAGAAATTCAAAATTTTATTTTAAAATACGTTTTCATATTTTCGGGTTGTTACAAATACAGCCTTCAAGATAAGATGGGATAAATTAACCATTATTCCCAAGCTTGCCCACAGTAAATACATTCATAAATGATATAACTAAGCTTCATTTATATGCTTGAAAAATTCCTATAGCACGCTAAAATTCTATTCACGTTACAACCACCATAAGTACATAGACCCATAAGCTATTACCCAAACATTAAAAATCCAAATGACTCAAATGCAAAATGATCTTAAATGTAGTCAAAGAATCTCAAATACACCCTTCTACCTAAAATCTTAGTTAACCAAATATGTTCATGCCACACCAGTAGATAGAAATGCATCCAATTGTTTAAGAATTCTCTATTTCTTTACCTCCTCCCTCTTTCGGGGCATTACAGCACTGGCACGGAATTTAAGAAGAAAGAGTGAAAAGTTTAAAACATCACTCAGACGTAAAAAAGCTTGAGAAACTTACTACAGTTTTTAATTAGATGCGGGAGCAGCCGCGGCTGTAGCATCAGGGGGAGCAGCGGCATCAGCAGAACACACACCCTCCAGAGATGCCTGCAAGAGACCTATAAGTGAGGCTGCGGGTAGGTGGAGGGAGCCAAGCAAGTAGGCATTGGAGTCCGCTTTGGCAGGCGTGGTCTCAAGAACACCAAAGTCCTGAGGGCCGTAAAGGCGGCCCTGGAAGACAGCGCCGGTGAAATCGTTGAGATCGAGCTTCCATTGGCGCTGGAAGTCGCGGCAGGCCTTGAGGGCGGAGGCGACTTCATCGTCGGAGCGGACGAAAAGCCATGCGTTCATGCCGCGTGCGCAGGAACGGATGGATTCCCAGGACGTACCCTCGGTCGATTTTCCAAGCATGGTATTTTTGGCTATGATGAGCTTTGCCGATTTCGGCAGCGCTCCACGAAGGCACTGGATCTGGCGAACCGTAAGGCTGTGACACCAGAGTCCGGCAACCATTTGGCAGCCCTCGAGCTCACGCTCCACCGACTCCCGCCGCATGCGGCGCATTGCTGCCCGTAGAGAAGGAACGGCAGAGGAAGCGGCGGCGCCGGAAGACCGCAGGGAGTATATCAGAGACGGCATAGGGTATTCTTGGAGTGTTTTCTTACACCTAGGGTTGTAATCCGAAGATGTGCAAGAGCGCTGTCCTATTCAATTCTGAACGGAGAGAAGGCCAAGGCATCTAAAAAACAAATAAAAGACCTATTTTACACTTTAAGATGCACTAACAGTACAGTAGTAATTTATCTACAATCCATTTCTAACCTATAACTATGCTGGGAAGGTGACCAATACTTTTGAAAAAAAAACTTCAATCTATTTACAGCCGAGATAAAACTTTAAAATATATTTTTATTTGTCAATCGGATGGACGCTCGTCGAAGTTGCAAACATGTGAATGCCGTTCGATTGGAGATGCCCTAAACCCATCTTCGCACAACACTAGAGATCCTCGCAACTTTGTCCCTCCCCCCTCTTGCGTGACCCATGACTCACCATAGCCCTTAAAACTCAACATTCACTCTAAGATTTTCCCCCACCCTCCACCCTCAAGAGTATAAACTCACATATGTCTTTGCAAGTATTTATGAAGTAACTCACGGGTTATAAGAGAAATACTCGCTCTCAAGGGACACCTACAACAATAACTCATTTGACATAATAAACATGTATTACTGCATACATGGATCGACATCTCAGCCCACCCGCTCTCTCCCAAAGCAAGGTTCACAAAGTTTAATGATAGGGAAATGTCTATTCAAGGAACACTAAGCTCATCTCGACATGGCCATTCAAAGCCTCCCACTTGCCACAACAACATCTCACTAGCCTATGTTTCCTCTTAGGTGGCCTGAGATCTCTCATACAAGTTACCGCCAACATTAGCAAGCCTGCTAGTCGCAGGTCCCCACATCTCAACGCTTGCCCACAAACTCGTCCCAACTTACCTAGCATTGTTGAACTCTCCTAGAGACCACTCATCGAGGTCCTTTCAACCTCGCTCTCTTTCAACCAATTTGAGGATGATATGCATCGAGAGAAGTAAGTATAGCATTGTAGGTATTTGTGTAGCTTGTAATTTTTTCTTTTTCTTTTTGTGTAGCCTTTCAAGATAGCCCTTAGAATCCAATAAATAAGAGGTACTAAGGAATGGTTTGGGACTTTTTGCCTTGACTTTTGGCTTATTTAGCGAATTCCAAGCTGGTTTGAGATGCATAGAGTTTTATTGAGCTCCTTACAGATTCTTTCTTTATCTACACTCTTTTCTTCACTCTCCATTCACTCACAAGTTTCAGCTCACCGAAAATGCATTATATTTAAGAATTGCTGAGTTTTAACATTCTTGACGATCAAGCGTGAAATAGTTCACCTTCACATTGTACAAAAATTTCACTCATAGGCATAGATAAATAAGTTGAGAACAACTCATAAAAGATGTGAGTTTTTGTAGATATAAAATCAAAGAAAGAAAAAAAAAATCATGATGTATGGCTCAACTGAAATAATTTTATTAGTGTCAATCAATATAGCAAATGATGAACTTCACCACAACGGTAGAAGGCATTAATATAATGTACTAAACATTAACTATGGAAGATAATCTCATGGTGGAATTACAATGAGCGTTGTGATGAGCTTTTCATCAAGACATGATTTGTGGTTTGTTCTCCTTATAGGATAGAAAATCTTCAACCAAAAGGGAAAGAATGCTTAGTGTGATGATAGGAGTTGTGAATGGTGGTGATAGCAAGTGTCGACCTTTGTGGTGATTGTGGACATCAAAGTTGATAGGCAGCAGGATTAGTAATGCTAACGATGGCAAGAAGCCCCAACATTAGCAACGGCGGTTGTTGACCTTGATGATGATGATAGGCATCGTTGTTGTTGGTGATGATGGGTTATCGATGTTATAGGCAACACCGGTATCAATTTTGTTAGCGATGACACGTATCAGGGTGCATTGACAGGCATTGGCCTTATTATCAACGACAATTGTTAACCTTGTTATTAATAACATTCATCAACCATATTGGTGAGGGGCGGGTATCGACCTTACAATAAGAGCCAGTCAGCTACATTGGCAGCAGTCCAAGCATCAACATTGGCAACAACAAGCATCAACCTCGATGCAATGACACAACAAGAGAAATTTTGAGCTAGAATATTATAATTTTAATTTAATCATAATGAATTAATTTTCTAATCATTGAGCTTACTATGTCATAAATATAATAAATGATTAATCATCAAAATTTTTTCTAATTTCAAAACAAATTCAATAAATAAAAAAATCTAGACAATACCCTGTCCCCATTAGTTGCTCGAAGCAAGAAACTAAGTTCTTAACAAAGTTTGCCATGAGGAATGTATGTAAGCAAATGAAGCGCAAATGCCTGTTCTTCCATTCAGTATTGATATGGAGAAATTTTGGGTAAGAATATCCTCACCTAAATTTAATCATGACAAATTTTTATCATGAAATTTATTTTAACTTGATTGTAACATATTACAAATTAATTAATTGTGATATTACACTCATCTCAAGATAAATCAAATGACTTCAAAAGTCAATTTAACTAAATTTGAGTTTGAAGATCCTAACCTAAATTTTTTTCCTGTTAAATTTGATATGGTGAATAAGGCTTCGTTTGGGACGGCTTTCTTTATGATTCTTAAAATAATTTTTTAATAAAAAAAAAGCTTTAAAAAACAGTAAAAAAATCATCCCAAACGAAGTATAAAGGGTGGGCCGGCCGGTTCAGTTGAACCGGCCGGATGAACCGGTTATTACAAGTATTGATATGGAGAAATTTTGGGTAAGAATATCCTCACCTAAATTTAATCATGACAATTTTTTATCATAAAATTTATTTTAAATTGATTGTAACATATTACAAATTAATTAATTGTGATATTACACTCATCTCAAGATAAATCAAATGACTTCAAAAGTCAATTTAACTAAATTTGAGTTTGAAGATCCTAACCTAAATTTTTTTCCTGTTAAATTTGATATGGTGAATAAGGCTTCGTTTGGGACGGCTTTCTTTATGCTTCTTAAAACAATTTTTTAATAAAAAAAAAAGCTTTAAAAAACAGTAAAAAAATCATCCCAAACGAAGCACAAGTAAACTTGAGCTTCTTGACCATGGATTTGCCTCAACCTTTACGTATAGTGATATGTGTGCCTTAACCTTATTTTGACACCAGCTATGCAGCTACAGAGAGCTTGTCTGACGATATGTTCCACCAAATAAAAGGAATATAAGAGTTTAAGGCTTCATTTGTGACGATTTTCTTATTGCTTCTTAAAAAAGTTTTTTAATATAAAAATTTTAATTTTTATACTAAAAAACTTCTTTAAGAAGCATAGAAAAAGCCGTTCCAAACGAAGCCTAAGTTAACTATGCATGTCCTATAAACAACTATGCAGTTTCAGATCAATGGAAGGACTATACAAGTTCCTAAAAACACTGGGATTAGAGCAACTGCAATATACCTTTCATTTTCATTAAAGAGAAACATACATAATATTTTGAAGTACAACAATGGCTTCTACTAGATGAAAGCCTGATTTTATATATATCTTGATCCAACTGGCTACAGTATCATACACTTCAACTGAGTAGTCTCAGTCTAAGAACAACTACGCAGTTTCAGATCAATGGAATGACTATACATACAAGTTCCTAAAAACACAGGGATTAGAGCAACTGCAATATACCTTTCATTTTCATTAAAGAGAAACATATATAATATTTTGAAGTACAACAATGGCTTCTAGATGAAAGCCTGATTATATATATCTTGATCCAACTGGCTACAGTATCATACACTTCAACTGAGTAGTCTCAGTCTAAGAGTTTGGAGTAACTTCTGCAAAACTGCCACTAAGTTTTAAAACATAACTCGCATAGCTGCTGAGAAACTCACTTTTCTTGCTAAAGCCACCAATCTCTACTTTACTATAATATATTATGAAAAAGAAAATTCAAAATATAAATTAGTTTTGAGAGAAAGCTATCTCATTTCGACTTCCATTAAACTCTCATTTCTTCTTTCCTAAATTCAGTATAACGGATGCAGCATTCATGCTGGGGCAGCAGTTGTCCGTAATGGAATGTAAACCCTGAGGGCAGAGTAGTCTAAAAACTCTCTCAGCTGCATCGATCTGTTTCACTCTAGCATCTTCGTCAAGAATAATTTTGCTGCAAGTTTACAAAATGGACAATAGTTACTAAATATACCAAAAAATTTCAGCAGTCTGAATTTGTTAAGTTTTAGGTTTCGTTTGGGACAATTTTCTTGTTGCTTTTTAAAACAGTTTTTCAATATAAAAATTAAAATATTTGTACTAGAAATCTGTTTCAAGAAGCAACAAGAAAGCCATCCAAAACAAAGCATTAGTTGCTTCTTGTATTTACCAGCAATGTTGCAGTCAAGTTTAGCAAAAGGGAAAAAGATGAGTATTTCAAAGAGAGCAGCTGCATCTATTAAACATTGCACAGAAAAGTTATAAAAATTATATTTAGCATACCTAAATACACTTATAGAAACAAAATCAATCTAATCCATTTGAATGTAGCACTATTTACTAACAATCTATTAAACATTGCACAGAAAAGTTATAAAAATTATATTTAGCACACCTAAATACACTTATAGAAACAAAATCAATCTGATCCATTTGAATGTAGCACTATTTACTAACAAAGCAGAGGGCCACGCAACAAGACCTTGGTTAAATAGAAACACTCAAAAAGAAATGCTAACCACTGAGTTCATTAAAGAGCATCGATATGAAAACATTTCCCTCCCTCCCTCAATCCATATTTCTTAAATTAATAATTTTTCATTAATATATTTCAAGATTTCCATATCTTTGAACGCCCAACTGACACCAATTAGTGTAAGAAGAAAGAGGAATTAAAGCCAAGGCGTAATATCAGCAATGTTACCTGAGAGTTGCTGCCAGGTTCTTGTATGTACAAGAGCGAAACAAAACCTCAGGAATAGCCTCTGAATCCAAAAGAATATTAGGAAGAGAAATAAACTGGAGCTTGGTCCTGTGCTGAATCAGCCACTCAGTCAAAAAATGGGCTCGATATGCAACAACAGAGGGAAGTCCTGCAAGTTGCAGCTCCATTACAGCAGAACCAGACGTGCATAGTGCAGCACTACTTGCCTGTAAGCATAAATTCAAAATTAAAATAATTTACGCAATGTGATGCGGGTAAATATTAGAAATGTGCTAATACTCTATAAAAACTTATATCAAAGGAACTTAGTGTTAATGACATTATTGAGATGTTTAAAAGAATGAATTCCTTAGAATCTATTTCAAAAGGCATTGTTGTAATTCAAAGTTGCAACAGCATTGTTTTTAAACAAGAAAAGGCATCCAAAATAAGTAAAAGCAAGGTTTCTACGAACAAATAGAATAGAAGAAGAAGAAAAAAGGCTCTTGTCAATGCTAATAGTACATATAAGCATACACTGAATGCATCATATCTTTGTTGAAGGGACACCCCAGGAATCAATGTGGCTGATAAAGACCAAGAACGAATCACTCTTTCAATGTGAGATGCCACATGCTGTTGAGGGGCAACAAGAATAATTGCAGACAATCCAGTAAAAGAGCCATTTAATAATTCCATAGTTTGTGAAAATATTGGTAGCATACGCTTAACCTCTTGCAGCCTGCTTCCAGGAAGTAAAGTGATAACCGTGTTTCCTGAAATTAAAATTATGTCAATCAAGTGGAAATCTATCAATAGCACTTGCATTATCTAAGGCCATCTAAAAAACAAGTAAAGAATTGAGACACATCAGTTAGGAGAAATCACAAGCACCATATTGCAACAGGTTCTCACTCTCATTTAGTAGAACTCTAAATTTCATTATAGGGCTGTTTGGTTTGAAGTAAAATGAGTGTAAAGTATTCCAAATGCATAGGTTTTGAGCATGATTTTGAAAACCGGACCGAACCTCCCAGTTCGACCAGTTCAACCATGAACCAATCATGTAGCAGTTTCGAAACGTCTTAAAAACTGGTCCAACATCTAACCAGTGTGAACCAAGTTGAACTAACAATTCAACCGACCAACCATTGAATCGGTCCCGATTTTTAAGAACCAGTCAATTAAATTGATATCCTAATTAAATAAATTAATTTAATATATATATTTAATTTAAATGTAACTTATTTAATTTTACATTGAGCCTAAATTTTTGTAATAATTATTTATCAACTAAGCACCAACAAACATACACACATGACCAAGAACCGGTCATGTGGCCGGGTCAGTTCGTCTAAAAAACTGGCCTAACATGAAATCGATGAATTCCAAATTGGCCAACCATTGAACCTGTTCTGGCTTTTAAGAACCAGCTGGTTCAATCATGGTTGTGAAAAACGAACCTAACGTCTAACTAGAAATATGGGAGGTTCAATGGTTTGATTGGGGTTGAACCGAATGACATAATAAATATTATAATTATTTAAATAAAAATAAATGATGGGGTATTAACCAATTATTAATGATATAAATTTATGACTAAAAATAAATTTTTATATATAAATTATAAACTTATAAATTTAATATAAATTATTACTAATTATTATTAATTTCATATAAATTATTTATAACTATCGTATTTATGTTATGATATTTAGATTAAATTTAGAACCAAATTATATATAAATTCACATTAGAATTTTACATCCATAAATTCTATATGTTAGATTATTTAAAATTAATAAATATATAAAACAATTAATTTTAATAATGTATATCTAAAAAATAAAATATAAAATATGATAAAATTTTAATATATAATTAAATAAAAAATATTCTTCTTATTTATAAAAATTGCTTTAATAAAAATAAATGTATATGTTTTAAACGATAATCTTTAACTTGTGTTAGTCCGCACAACTTATAGAGAGCTTGTCTTGTGTTTTATATGCTTTCTTTTTTCATTAGTTAAGAACTCACACAGGATGGTGGGATCATGTGAGTATGATGTTGGTGTTAATTAATACATAATTATTATAAAATTTTTGGCTTATTATTAAATAAAATGTGTTATATTTAAATTAATTTAATATTTAATTAAATATTTTATATTAAATTAAATTATTTAAATAGAGTATGAATTGAACCGACTACTTAAAATTTGGGACCGGTTCAACGGTTAGCCGTTGAATCGACAGTTTGGTTCAAACCGGTTCTCACCGGTTTGATGTTGGGTCAGTATTTCATGAGAACCGATCGAACCGGCCTGTCCGGTCCGATTTTAGAAACCATGTTCAATTGATATCCTAATTAAATAAATTGATTTAATATAAAATATTTAATTAAATGTTAAACTTAATAATTTAATTTAAATGTAACATGTTTTTCTTTTAATAATGAGCCTAAATTTTTGTAATTATTATTTACTAACTAAGCATCGACAAATACACCTACATGATCCCATCATCCCATTTGAGCTCTTAATACATGAAAATAAGAAAAACTATATAAATAAAATAAAATAAAGCTCTCAAATGATGAGCGAGTAAATAACTTAGTTAAAATTTTCTACTTCAAAACACATACATTACATATTTTAAACATATTTTTTAATTAGTTTTTAATAATGAGAATAATATTTATTTTTTGGTTAATTTTATTTAAGTGTTTATCTATTTTATTTTTAATTTTTTAAATATATATCATTAAAAATTAATTATTATCTATTTATTTCAATTATAAATAATTTAACATGAATGATTTATAGATGCAAAATTATAATATAATTTATGATCATAAATTTTAATATAATATAAATTAATAATAATTTATAAGTTTATATTTAAATTAAATTTATTTTTAGTCAGAAATTTATATCACTGTATAATCATTATATTATTTATTTTTTATTTAAATTATTATAAAATTTATTATGTCATCTGGTTCAACCCCGGTCGAACCGTTGAACTTTGAACCTCTCATTTTTTCGGCTCGATGTTAGGTCCTGTATTTGGAAGTTGGTAGATTTGAGTGATTTCCAAATACACTATAAATTCAAAGCCACTACCTCCACCCGCAACCTTTGCCGACTTCTGACACCTGCAGCACCAGGCACTACCGACTGCTAACCGCCACCACCCGTTGTCGCTTGCCGCCACTATCGACCCCCGCCATTAGCCACCGCCCCTGCCACCATTAGCAACCGCCGACCACCACTACTTTTTAGCTTTACACTACAATCATTTTACTTCAAGCCAAACAAAAAATAATAATAATCAGGATTTATTTTACCTTTGTTCAAATAACTCCAAAACATTTCAAATACATTACATTCTTTTTCCAGCAAACCTAACAACCCACAAGGCCCCAAGTAAATCATCATCCTCAGTGTAACCTAACCCCAACCATCTGGGTTGGTTTTAGAAATCCTCATTTTCAATTTGTTCTTGTTGAGTGCTATATGAGATATACATTTTGTTTTTCTGAAGAGGACTTAACCGCTTATTTGGAAGTGAAGAGCAGCAGCCCACATATGTAAATATAAGCTCATAAACCACTGCAATCCACATTTGCATGCATACGTGCCCATCCACATGTATGTCACAAAGAAAAAACAACCATGATATCATCAATCAAGTATAAAAATTTCTAGTGTCATAACAACTTTGTGCCACTTTTCAAAACTAGTATAAGCAATAACCTCTAAATTAAACCACAAAAATGGCAGTGCAGTTTTTTTTTTTTTTCAACTTTATATGAAATAATATGATGTTACCAGGAGGAATCCCATGTTGTTGTCGAAAAGCATCACCATTTCCTTGGAATCTCCAATTATACGATGGTGAATCAAGTTCCTGCAGAACAGTAGCTTAAGAGATGTGCACCACAGAATTGCTTAAATGACTTCTTATAAAGTATCTATTTAGATACATAAATGAAAAAAAAAAAAAACAAGAGACAAACTAGGGCTGAATCCAATGTGAATGGAAACCTACAAAAAAGCTAAATAGAATTTTGACAACGTGGGAACTTAAACCGGAAACTTTCTGGTACCACTCCATAATGGGAATTAGAAACGCATGATTTGAATGTTGAGGAAAGTGCATTCTCATGTTGAGTTTTGATGTTATTTTAGTTATTTTATTTCTTAGTTTGTTGTTTTCTAATTCATTTCATTATTAACATGCCTATGCTGATCTTACTAATAATGAGTATTGTTTTCTAAAATCTGTGCTGGTTTTGTTTGGTTTAGTTGTAAGCTCCTATTTCAGCTTACGTATTTTTCTATGCTATTTGTCTCCATCTACTTCAAAAAATAGAGGGGCAGCTAACAAGCTAGACCCTTTTTATGCATTCAAGAGGTACCGTTAGCCATCATGTTGCCTTTCCTGCTGGTATTGAATCCCTGCATGTTTTAGTTCTTTCCTTTTCTACTTCTGCCGATCGCACTACAACTATGAAGCCTGCAGTCCTCAACATCCACTACTCATAAGATTATTGATTTTTGCGCTGTGGCTGAGCTGGTCCTCTGAAGATTACGTTGATTTGGACTAGATGGATCAACGCTTTGTCGGTTGTTGTTGTTGCCTTGTCTTTCCACACACTCTTTTGCCTTCCGTTTGGGGGTGATAAACAATTTGGAAGTCTTTGTTCGTTGCGATTCAAGTGCTTAATTGATGTCTGCCTGCTGTATGTTTGCCATATATACATGAACTAAACTATAGTAGAATCCCAACTTACCTCTGTTGAGGACAGTGCATTGTCAGTCATTTAGCTTTACAGTAGCATGCACATTGTTTGTTTTAAAGTTCAATTTTAGCTTGATGTTTTGGAACAGATTTTGGTAACTATCAATTATGGGTCTAATTTTGATTATGGCTTCTTTGTGATGACGGGGATATGAATTTTTCCAGTGTGTTATAACTTTTTACAATAACTTTCTGCTTTAAGTGTTAATTTCCATCTTTATTTTCTTTTTTTAGACTATAGTTTGTGCGCATAATTGAGATTTGGTCATCTAATTTCCAGTTGTGATATGAACCTTTTTTGTTGGGTTATTTTATTTCAGATTCAAATTTCTTGTAAAATTTAAGATTCAGATGATCTTTAAATATTATTTTTGAGTTAGTTTTGTGTACGTTTTGTCTTTGCATCAAATGAGGCAATTTTTTTACTAAGAGTTGGTAGACTACAAATTTTGATCATTTGCTTGTGTTCATATGCATCACATAAAAATTTCTTAGAGAAATCTGATCTCCTAAGATGTTCTGCATTAGATTTGATATCAAAGTTTCTGGTTATATCATGATGTGAACTAAAAGTAAGACATAAAAATAAGGCCAATAAAAAAAAATAATAATTAATGTAAATTTAAATAAGATTGGTTAAGTTATGATTCTAAACAACTATAACAAAACTACCAGGAAATTTAGAATTAAATTCCTACTTTCTACAGGAGATAAACCCTTAGGCAGTTTTCAAGTTGGATTTATAATAAGAAATTTTCTCTGAATGTTGTCACTTGCTAGATTACGAAAGAGTTGAAATTGCTAAAAAAAAATTAATAAAACATATTCTATTATTTTGACGAAGTGTGGGAAGCGAATAAAATAAATAAGGGTTGATATGAAACAAGAGCTTAAATGGTGATTTTTGTCATTAGAAGAATATAAGAATCAACTACATGAATAATTTAAGCATTGCAAACAAAATGAATATAGTGTGTTGAATGCAAGATTTTACACATCGTGTAGCAAAGCATTATTTGCATCTAGACTATTGTTATCATTATCTATTTTATTTAAACAAATTAAGTAAGAGATTAGGAATGAATTAAGCCATAATTCACCAAAAATATAATATAAATATTTATTCAAATATTTAAATATTTAAGCATAATACAATCATTCTACTAGGACTAACCGAACCTGTGATTAAAGCCCTCAGAGAAATCGTTAACTTCACTAAACCCTGTCAAGCATACTTTAATAACACAAGAATCGTACACCAGCAATCTGAACTAATTAAGGAATTGTAAAGCATGAATATTCTTTTGATGATGTATTAGATTGAGAAAATGCTTTGAAATTGCAATATTAGTCTATCTATACCTATATTAGAATGTATTCATAAGCCAAAATTTACAATTGAGCAAGAGTCAAAATCCAAATTTGGACTTAAATTCAAGCATAAGATCAATTCTTAATATAAACCTCAATTGTAAACTAAACTTACACTGAAATTGAAACTAAGATCATATCTAAACTTAAATTACAAACAGAATCTGAATCTAATTTTATTTTTGAATATAAATTTCTATTAAAAATTGAATATAATATTGATGATAAGCCTAAATTTCTAATGTAAACACCTAAAAATGAACTTGAGTGATCCAGAACGCCTTAGAGTTTCTATGTCTAATAGAACTACATGATGCAATGTACGAAATCATATAATTCGGGCTTGAAATTCGTTCAGAAACCACCAATCAAAATAAGAACTCAATCTATTTTAATGTAAACCCAAAATATGTGAAATCCAAGCTAAACAAATAATTTATAATCATCCAAATCAAACAGAGAAAGAAATTTAAAACCACAAAAACCCACATTTCAATTGAAAAACCAATTGTAGCCAATTAAACAAACCAATCATTGCTCCAATATTCAATTATGTAAAATACAGCACGTAAGAAATCACCAGACCTAGAAATGAAAGCTTCACAAAAATACAAAAAAATGACTTCCCAAAAAATAAATAGTAACTATAACACGACATTTGAAATAATCAACATCCAATCAAGCAAACAAGATCAAATAAAATGAAAAATCTTATTAATCCAAAAGTATTACTACATGTCTCCGATTTTGGTATTTATCTTCCCAAATTCGATTACTCTGAATTTCCTAGATCAAGCAATCATGCAAAATCACAGCTTAATTGTAGCTGAAGTCACTAAAAGTTCAAGCAAAAAATTCACATCAATAAGAATGGAACAACATACATAAACGGTGTGGCTATTGGCTCGATTACAAAATAATAATGCCTTTTGCATAATGAAAACATTACAATGCATGCATGGGATTAGATAAGCTCTCTAAATAATCATGTTAATAGCCACAAGTTAGGTTGTGCACTATGATGCAGTGACACTCCTCCCTAAGGAGGTATGTAGTGTTTGACACTTATCAAACACACACATCTGGCATGCCTCCAAAATATATCGAACATAATAAAAATGTGTTCAATTAAAATAACAATAATAATTTGGATACATGTATCATAAATATTTTATTAAAAACTATTTTTAAATCTAATATATTATTTTTCAAAATTTTATTAACTAAAACATAAAAAGTTATTTCCTTTAATTTATCTCCACAATAAAAAAGAAGCATTTGCCTGCATCCCAAACATTTCTCTCATGGCTAGGGGTTTAACTTCGACAAATGATGACTCGACATCACCGATAATTTCTCCAATTACAATCACACAGACACACCATCTTAATAGCTCGACATCTCAACGACAACCTCCAACATTGTCTTAACTTCAATGGCTGACTCTCTCTCAACATCAATGCCAAACACTCGACACAACATCGATATTTGATTCTTGATAGCATTATTGTCTCCTTTTTTTTTTACATATCGTCTCCTCTCTTGATGCCAAAGCTCAAGACTAGGATTTCGAAATTGGGACACCTTTTCCTCATAGTTCATAATGCATCTACAATAAGAGACATTTCTCCCTATATAAGGAACTTCTTTTTGTTGGTTTTATATTCAAAATAGTATAAGAAACATTTCTCTCCGTACAAGGAACTTCTTTTTAATCGGTTTCATATTCAAAATAGTATAAGAGACATTTCTCCCCATATGGACCTTTGATTAAAAATTCAATTCAACTAGGAAGCAAAAACAATAAGGAAGGGAAAAAAGAGGAAAATTAGTAGCAAAAAAATTTAGCTGCAATTTCTTTTTTTTTAATCATTGTTTTTTGAATTGCATGAATTCTTCCCCATTGAATTTTCAATGATATAATAATTTAAATTCAAGATTTTATGCTAATTGTGGAATATTCTATAAAAGGATGATGAGCTCTAATGGTGATAGTTTTGAAAGCAGTGAAGTTTAGAGTCAATAAGCTTTTGTGGATCATGTAATTAAGATGAGAAAATGTTCTCAAAATGAAGAAAATATTACATTTAAATGTAATTATTATAGTGTCACTTATAAAGACTCATATTCTAGAGTGAAATCTCATTTACTAAAGATTATTGGTTATTGAATTAAAAATTGCCCTGAAATAAATACTTCATAGTTAAATGAAATGTAAAGGTAAGTTAACAAAGTTGATTCAAGGATAAAAAAAAACTCTTCCTAATGAGATATTACTTCCTAAAAATAGATCATTGGCAAATTACAAGATATTAAATATCTGTTCGAGCAGATGCTGATGGTATGGCTCACTGCTTAAGAACAATTACATATGACTATATGAGAGAGTGGCATTTCATACTATCAACTTGAGTTAGCTTTATCATTGTAGGAAGAGATGAAGTTGTACGGCAATCAGCAATCTCAATACGTGTCATAGAGTATACATGTTCCAAGAGGCAAGTTTTCAAAGCAAACATTCATAAAAAGCAAATGTTGGCATTAAAAATAATACAACACAAAACAATATCAAAGGAATATTTACATAAGCATGATGAGAAAAAATAATATATTTTTGAACAATCTTCCGCAATTAAATGAGGAAAGATGTGCCCACCTTGTTCAAGCAAAAAGCATCTTCCAACAAGGGGTGACCAACATATGATGCAGCTAATCCATTTAATCTGCAAATTTCTTCTTCAAACGGAAGTATGCATAGCAAATGGTCAACAAATTCAGATAGTTTTCCTAGTCTTCGTTCACCTCCTTTCCATGCCCAAAATGATGGTGCAACATAATGGACACATATAGGACACTGATCTTCCTTAGTATGTCTAACTGCAAATAGATTGCCGTGATGTTAAATTTACAAGCTAAGAAGAAATATGTTAGATCTTTAAAAAAGAAATGAATAAGGACCTGGAGAAATATTCAATAACCTTTTAGGTGCTTCAACAAACGAAAAGAGAATCCCTTTGAATCAACTGTCACCACAACATGAGGCTGGAACAGTAAAGCTGCTTCAATGGTTTCTTTTAACTTTATCTGCCAAAGCAAATTCCCTTCTAAAAGAAAATGTTTGATAATAATAGACGATTAGGTTATATTAGAACTGACGAATTACATGAAGCACAATTCACCCTTATCTTGTTTAAGTATGGCAGCAATTCAAAGATCCCCATGACTGAAATGTCTTCCATGGGAAAGAGAGACTGAAGGCCCTCGTGGTACATTAAAGCTCTGACAAAGCAACGAGTTCTCAATAAAACTTAGTCAAATTTATGCCTAGTTTTACAGCATCACATACTACAATTAGAAATGATGAAACTGAGTTCCACAAAGCGGGTATGTTTTAAAGAATAAATAATAAAAATACGTATGCATCATATCCCAAGAAGTTAGGGTTGATATTATGACTTCACATTTTTCATTTGAGAAAAAAACCAAAATAATCCCCTTACTATTTACAAAGAACCAAAATAATCTCCTATTATATTAAATAATAATTTTGGTCCCTCAAGTCTTTAAAAAGAAATCAAAATAGTCACATGATGGGATTATTTTGATTCTTCTATAAGAAGTTTAAGGACCAAAATGATCATTTAATATAGTTGGGGATAATTTTGGTCCTTCATAAAAAATCAAGGGACCATTTTAGTCATTTTCTCTTTTCATTTGTTCATATTAAATGTTGTTTGAGGGATTGAACATATTCTCCAAAAATCCATTTAAACAACTTCCATCCATATCAGTCGGGTCTATTACTTCACCTTCTTAAAACTATGGCAATTGTTTCCTCTATATGTCGCAATTTCTACAATTCATTATACCTACCCAAACTATAAAAATCTAATATAATGTTCAACTAACGTTTTTTCACAAATTCATCTTAATATTCTCATTTTTATCAAACTCAACTTAGCTATAAATGAATATTTGAATGTCCATCCCTCAAATACATAAACGTCAATGGCTTAATTGCAAATTTATTAAATTTACCTTTATGTCTCCAATGTATTCTCTTATCATATAGCATTCTTGAGGCACTTTTCTATTTTAACCATTAACATTAACTCTAAAAAAAACTTAACCCTCTTCATTACCATATTTCTATATAATACATCAAACACACTTACCATATCACATTTAGGGATCAATTATCTTCAAATGTAAAACTCAACAATTATTAATATCACACCCAATAAAATAACATATCATATATTCAACTTTATTACACTAACTCTAAGTCTTATGCCTTTTAAATATTTTTTTTATTGTTCAAAATTTTCACTTATTTAATATCATCAATAAACACCAAGCCCTTTGCAAAAATAATGCACCAAAGCACCTCTCTATAATTAATACAAAGTTATATAGACTCAATATTAATCCTTGAAGTAATTTATTCAATTAGTTCACAACTACTTCTAATAGCGGTCAATGCTTTATTGCATGTATATGTAATGACTTCAGCATAACTTTAGCATGCACATTTTTTCTTTAATGTGCATAAAATCAATCTGCATAGTACTCGATCATTATCTTCTTAGGATTAAAAATTATATGGTAATTATTTATCTGTTCTTTATACATTTTCATTAATTGTCTTAAAACTAAGATTGCGTACCTACTAAATCTTCCTAGCACTAAACAAATTTGATTATCTCAAACTAACATAATTTTTGTAAGATTATGTTTGATTACTCTCTCTTATAGCTTCATAATATGACTAAATAGTTTATTTCTATATAGTCAGCATAATATTGAGCATCTCATCTATTCTTAAATATTGATATCAAAATACTTATTTTGTAATAATTTAACACCCTATTATTAGCTTTCGAAATTTCATTGAAAATATTTGTTAATCAGCCCAATGCAATATCCCAATAATTATTTTGAATCTCAATAAATATCTAATATATATCTAAAGAGAAAAGAATCAAAATGGTCCATCAACTCTTTGTGAGAGATCAAAATGGTCCCCAACTTTGTTGAGGGACCAACTCAACTCCTTAAAAAGATGCATTTTTTGTCCTAACTCATATTTTGAGATTAATGGTATTAAGCCAAGGGGTATTTTGGTCATTTTATAATTAAATTATTTATTAAATATAATTTTCAAGTAATAGTAATTTTTAAAAAATTTATTAAATATTTCTTTAATAAAAAAATATTAATAATTCTAGTTTATAATGATCCTAAATTAAAAATAGAACTATTAATAATTTTTTAAATTAAAACTACAATTATTAATATTTTTTTATTAAAGAATTGTTTAATATTTTTTTTTAAGAAAATTACTATTACTTAAAATTTATATTTAATAAATAATTTAATTAAAAAAAGACTAAAATACTCTTTGATTTAACATCATTAAACCCAAAATTCAATGTTATGACTAAAAAGGTCATTTTTTAAGGAGTTGATTGACCAAATTGATCCCTCAAAAGAGTTGAGGACCATTTTAGTCCTTTTCTCTATATCTAAATCTCTAAAAAAAAGATATCCAACATATGACTTTTTCGTGCAAAGCATGTCTAATAGGCTTAGGCAATATTAAGTAAAAAAATTAAGTTGGTCAAAAACGAATTTGATGAAGGACCGAATAAGCTTAAACATAATTTGATAATGTTACGACATGCTATGATGTGATAAAATCTAGACTAGTTTAAACAACATTTATACATATGAATTTCTCTCTGCAAAAGTGTGTTAGCCAAGTCCCTGTAACTGTAAAGGGGTTGCAAGAATAAGATAACTTTTTTTGCTATGTATTTAGCACAAAAGTAAAAAACTAATGAATGATATGTTTTAAAAAAAACAACTATATAATTGAAATTTTTTTTTTATCAGACGAACTTGAGGAAAACTCATTTCAGAAAGGACAAAATATGATTAGATTTGCATTGGGTCCAGAATATTCATCTCAATGCAAATTTGAAGGCATTTTATCCCTCGAGTGATTTTGCATAGGACATTTAAAACGAAATGTTTTTCCAAGGAAGAGTTCTAGAAAAGAAAGAAGTTAATAATGTTTTTTTTTTTTTGTTAGATTTAAATGAGAATTTCACTCTTAATAAAACACTATGGAGAAAAAGGATTCATGTAGCCGGCCCCACATAGTGGGATAAAGGCTTGATGTTATTGTCATTGTTGCTGGAAGATTTATAGAAAAGAAAGGAGTTAATAATGCTTATATTCAAGTAATTAAGGATATGTATGCATGAGTTGTTACTTGTATTCAAATACAATATGGCTTGACCAAGTATTTTTCCTATTTCAATTAGATTAAATCAAGGATCAGCTGTAAGCCATATCTTTTTGCTTTTGTCATGAATGTTCTCAATAGACATTTGCATGATAATCTACCCTGGTGTATACTTTTTGCTGATGATATTCTTCTTGTTGATATGACTAGAGAGGGAGTTGAAGGAAAACTTGAAATATGGAGGTCAACCTTAGAGTCTAAATGTTTTTGTTTGAGCATATCTAAAACCAAACACATGGGTTGTGATTTAAGTAGTAATATATCTAGTGGTGGGAGTGTGATATTGGGTGATAAAGTCATTAGAAAGAGTGCATGTTTTAGATATCTCTGGTCTATTGTCCAAAGCAATTGTGAAATAGATGAGGATATTATTAATAGAATTCAAGTTGGATGATTGAAGTGGAAGAATGCATCGGGTATGTTGTGTGATAGAAATGTACCTCTCAAACTTAAGGAAAAAATTTATAAGATGGTGGTGAGACTTGCAATGCTTTATGGCGCTGAATGTTGGGCATTCAAATAGAGGCATAAAATTAAGTTAATTTTTACAAAGATGAGGATGCTTAGGTGGATGAGTGGCCTTACACTTAGAGATAGACTGCAAAACAAATATATATGTGAAAAGGTTGGAGGAGCTCTAATGGAAGATAAGATTAGAGAGAGCCGCCTAAAATGGTTTGATCACATAAAGTGTCAGCCTTCCGATGACCCGATTAGGAGAGTAGATGTATTAAATCCGACCTATATTAAAAAAGTATATGTAAACCTAAAAAAACTTGGTTAGATAATTCTATATTTTTTTAATTGTATTTAAATGAGAATTTGACTCTTAATAGGACCCAATGAATAAAAAATGTTCATGTAGTCGACCTCACGTAGTGGAATAAAGGCTTGATGTTGTTGTTCGAATCAATGAAGTCCCAAACAAATCCTAAAAGAAATTGGTTGAGCTTAAACTATATGGTAGTAAAGGTTTCTACTCAAAAATTAACATAGGAGACAAAACTATTAATGATGTAAGGTAACTTTGTACATATGAGATTACTAGGCCAAGGACAATAATCTAGAATGAACTTTATAAGTTAACATAATGACCATTCCTTCTTATGTGAATCCGCTTGTAATTAGTTTGGTGGTTAACAATAGGTTAATCAGTAGAGTAATTAGCTTAAGATTGGCATAAAATTCTATAGATACACCCATTTGAGGAGAATGATGATATGAGAATAATGAATGAATACCCCTTCTTATATCTGATTTGTATTTTATTATCTATTTTGGGGGCTTTAGAAAGCTCAAATTACTCTATTAGGATCGAGTTTATATATTTGTGCTTTCATCGAGAGTTTGTCCATTATATCTTCCTGATTTGTACTACATCACAAAATTGGTAAATTATTAAACTTCTTAATCCATCATCAACTGTGCAAAACTCCACCAACCCCATATTGTATTATATTCCTACATCTGGCCTTCCGCACACCAACCCCATATTATATTATATTCTCATATATGAACCTCTACATTATCACAAGTAATGCCTTTCATCAACTCCATCTTAAGAGCACATCAAGAACTTGGATCCAAGGCTCATCATGGATAGGTCAAGCCAACCGACAACCATAATCGAGTTCCTCAAGTGGCCGACTATATGCATTTTATTTTGCGACCTCCATAATGCACAAGCACAAATTGCTTGTGTTTGAATGTATGGTTGCCACCCCCATTAAAGCAACTTAGAAGTTCGACATTGATGGCATTGTTGTTGTGAGAGGAGTAATGATGTGAATTCACTTGTATTTAGCTTAATGGTTAACAATGGGTTAATTAGTAGAGTAATTAGCTTCATATAAGCATTTGTATTATACAAAAACCCTAGTTTGGGGAGAATGAAAATATAAGAAAATTGAATGAAGTTCCCTTCCCGTATTTAATTTCTATTTTCTATTTTTTGAGCTTAACCAATCTTGAATTGCTTTATTAGGAATGAGTTCCTAACACCTTCCTTTTGGGATTGCAGGTTGACAAATCGAAGCTTCATGGTGTCAAAACACTTGCTCTAAGATAGGGTTATATCTATACCCATCACAATCAATATTTCTAATGTAAATTTGTCCACTAATCCAGCATTACTGGAATTTTATTTTATTTTTTTATAGTAATTTGACCTGAAAGAGCAAATAAATGAGTATCAATTTGAGAACTGACCAAAGAAAACTCCTATAGCTCGTATCTCAGTAAATAAATATATAAATAAAACCTAGAACGGCCAGATAGAACACCGCTACATAAGCATACAAGGAAACAGCATCGGTTCACGAACTGACCCTCCGACTCCAGAAAAACGGACAGGATAAGGGGAAATCCTCTTGATGGAAGCCATGAGGCGAGAAGCAATGGAATCACCAGAGACCTCGCCGGCAACTATGAAGACCCTAAGCTCGCCATCCCGAGATGCCATATCGATGACTCTTCTGCTGCAGGTCGACAAATCTCTCGCCTTGGCACTCCTCTGCCAGAAGTTTGCGGTGACCGCGCGAACCGACGCTCGCCGCATTTTCGCTGGAATATTTTAGGTGTTGGCGCCCTTTCTTCATCAGTTCGTTATATAAGCAGCCGGTTGGCTTTTAAAAACATCATATTCTTCATCAGTAGTGTGAACTATTGTGGTTTAACAAGGGTTGCCATTAGCATAGCTTGAGCTCTACTTATTGAATTCTAGTTAGATTCTTTAAATTTTGTTGTCTACTAAAAGATTTATGATCGTCCATAGTTTAATATCTTAGCTTAATAGAAAGATTAATATCTAAGATAAAAGTTATAAAAAAATATTAATTTTTTATATGTGGAAAAAAAAATAAAAAATATAAAAAATTAAATGGTATGGAATAATTGCAATAATCTGTTATATATTTGTAGATATAAGAATCTGTCATGGTAATCATAAAAATTAGTGTTCACTGATACATAGTTGAAATACGATAACAATAGTAGGGATTGGTAGTCATATCATAATAATCGGATGACAAGAGTCGTGTGATTCTTGCGTGACAATAATTGATGGTGGTCATCATCAGCAATTGATGATAAATGCATATGATTCTTTAGCTTTATCAACTTCGTAATCCACTTCACGTCGAAAGTTGAGGCCTTAATTGTAACCTTTTTGAGAGGGGAACAATGATAAATTTTGCCATAATTAATAATTGAGAACTGACCAAAAAAAACTCCTACAGCTCGTATCTCAGTAAATAAATATATAAATAAAACCTAGAACGGCCAGATAGAACATCGCTACATAAGCATACAAGGAAACAGCATCGATTCACGAACTGACCCTCCGACTCCAGAAAAACGGACAGGATATGGGGAAATCTTCTTGATGGAAGCCATGAGGCGAGAAGCAATGGAATCACCCGAGACCTCGCCGGCAACTATGAAGACCCTAAGCTCGCCATCCCGAGATGCCATATCGAGGACTCTTCTGCTGCAGGTCGACAAATCTCTCGCCTTGGCGCTCCTCTGCCAGAAGCTTGCGGTGACCGCGACCGCGCGAACCGACGCTCGCCGCATTTTCGCTGGAATATTTTAGGTGTTGGCGCCCTTTCTTCATCAGTTCGTTATATAAGCAGCCGGTTGGCTTTTAAAAACATCATATTCTTCATGAGTAGTGTGAACTATTGTGGTTTAACAAGGGTTACCATTAGCATAGCTTGAGTTCTACTTATTGAATTCTAGTTAGATTCTTTAAATTTTGTTGTCTACTAAAAGATTTATGATGGTCCATAGTTTAATATTTTAACTTGATAGAAAGATTAATATCTAAGATAAAAGTTATAAAAAAATATTAAAATTTTATATGTGGACAAAAAAATAAAAAATATAAAAATTTAAATGGTATGGAATAATTGCAATGATCTGTTATATATTTGTAGATATAAGAATCTGTCATAGTAATCATAAAAATTAGTGTTCACTGATATATAGTTGAAATACGATAACAATAGTAGGGGTTGGTAGTCAGATCATAATAATCGGATGACAAGAGTCGTGTGATTCTTGCGTGACAATAATTGATGGTGGTCATCATCAGCAATTGATGATAAATGCATATGATTCTTTAGCTTTATCAACTTCGTAATCCACTTCACGTCGAAAGTTGAGGCCTTAATTGTAACCTTTTTGAGAGGGGAACAATGATAAATTTTGCCATAATTAATAATATCTCATCGAACAATCCATATTGATCACTACGATTATAGATTATTTATCCAGCATTTGAGTACTTAATTATGCTAAAATGAAATAATATTATGCTCATTGGATTTGTATCTTGGAGTTACTCTATTTAAGTATAAACATACAAGCTTCAAATTTTGTTTGGTCCTTTAATTAATTCATGAAGTTTTTAAAAATAAGTAAAAGGGTTTGGGTGGAGGTCATTTGAGGTTGGTTATGATCACTTATGATGTCTACGGATTCATCTCATCAAGGTATTTAATTTGTCACATCATAATTCGACCAATACATGTCCAATCGTGTTGAGCTGTGACAGACAAATCCCAAGATTTGTTTTTAGAATGTTTTGGATTCTCTTTCAATATTCATTTTGAATAAATTGCATGGTACATATCTAATAAAATATTTAAATACTGAAAATAAACTCATCCACAAAATTTCTTTCATTTTCATTAGAATGTATCTATACTACAGTCATTGGCTCCATGCAAAAGCTACATAACTAAATAAAAAATGAGTCATAAATGTACAAAAATCAAAATAGATAAATACATATAAACTTTGATCAATTATGAATTGCTAATCCACAAACTCCTTCCCATTTCTAGAGCCTAAAAATCAAAAGCAAAATCACAGTGAGCTACAACAACTGAGGGGCCCACACAGGCCGAACTAAATTTTTAGAATTCTTTTATTAAATATTTTGTTGAATATTTAAAATTAGTTAAATACAATCTAATAAATTATTGTATAGAGAATATAATATGAACATAGTAGTTATATAATAAAAAAATAAATAAATAGACTAAGCAAATGAATAATTTGTCATTCATATCATACAACAATTTATATCACATTTCTCAGACCCCGATAAAATCTTAAAGGATTCTGACACCTTATGACTCAATTTTGTGCTTATAGCACTAGAACATACTGGTATGAATCAGAACAAGACATATAACTATTAAAACATACATTATGAACATCAAAATTTTTTCTAACATATACATAATCTCAAAAGATTCTGACCTCTTCTATCTCCCAAAAGATATTTTTTTAATCACACATGCACATTTTTCATTATATCATAGCAGTTAAAACGCAATTGAGCGTGTGTCAGAATTTCACAGTTTTCTCTAATAGCAGGTAACAGAAAAACCAACCAGGAAAAAATACACATTTCAAATTACCATGTATTGTGTAAAAAATGTTTTAAGATGTTATCATTCTACTACACTATTTTCAGAGTCCAAATAAATTTCTATTCAATAAAAATCCCACAAATTCAAAAGCCTCGATGGTAATTTTTTTTAGAAAATACTCAAAAAATTTGTAATTTCAATCTCTATAATATATAACAAATTACACGGTGAAAAATTTATCAATGCAAAATTATCCGCGTTCTTCACCAACAAAAACAAAATTTTGATTGGAAAATTAGACTAAAACTTCGTATTTTTGAAAATTGAGATATGCGTAATATAACCTAACTCGATCCGAACAATTTTTCGATCTTGGCCGATGGATGAAACAACCTAAAGCGGCTAAAAATCATCTTCTTCTTCCCCAAATCCTTTTCTTACGACTTTTTCCAATCGGTTAGAACATGTCAATCTAGATGTTGAATCTATACGTGTCACACAATTCAGCTATAAGTTTATTGAAATCAGAGTTCAGGCTACCCAAAATTTATTTCTAAAAGCTCCCAATTAAATATTATTTCAATACTCATGCTATTCAAGTGGATTTTCTAAAAACGTTTAAAGTTTGACGTAGTTTATTTATAAAATGGAGAAGATTCTAATTTGAACATCTACTGTAATAACATGACAGAAATAAAGATAAATTAGAAGATAAATAATAAAGAATCACTTATCATAACAAAGAAACATATATTTTAAATATCCTTAATAATATATACCAAAAGTATTGAATTTTAATATATTCTAAATATATTTTATGTTAAAATATTTTTAAATGAAGTGGCTCACAGGCTGATGTGTCGAGTCTGGGTCAGCTCAAGCGCAAGAGATATTCATCGAGCCAAGAGAGCTTAATAGGTTAACTGAGTTTTCGATACTCAGGTGCACAAAACTGGACACAGAGAAGAGCTTTTATTAATATCTTTCGTATGAGAAATGTAATGGATGATGAGGATGATGTGCTCATTGTTTGTAGTGTGTACATCAATATGCGCTTCAACATATTTTTATGTAATTATAATTTCATAAATTCTTAAGATTATAAACTCTGAAAATCTAAAAATTATAAAATAAATAGAAACTATTTTTTTTTCTATCATAAAGTGTTAAGTACTTGAGATATTACATATATATAGAGGTTCAACATTATTTTATGGAGAATTAACATGATTTTCTTAAAGCAAAATATAGTGATCCACTTGCAAGAATAGTTCAACAACTTTACAAATTAGTTTTTGAAGTAGAAGTGTGAATGCAAATTAATGAAATTAAGGGCATCTCCAATCGAAAATCCCATTATTCACTCCAAAATACAATGAAACTCAAATATGTCATGATTCATCTCCAATCGAACTCCATTTTGCGTGCTTCTGCGAATGTAACAGTCTTTCACCTCTTTCGCGTGTTTCTTCGGCAAATCCGATTGAGACAGAAAAATCGCGTTTGGTGAACAGTGCAACACCGATATTGACGATTTTGTTTTTTCCGTTTGAATGGAGCAAACCAGCTACGACTTACAATCGTTTGGAGTTTGGCAGGAGATGCCCTAACTACTAGTACACTCCTAGTTGCGATGATCTATGGTGATGAAGAAATTATTCTGTGCGGATACTGGATAGTCCGGAGGACAATCAGAATTCACCATATCACTCGATACCCAACATTGATACCGAGCAAAAAATGATATTTCACATTCTGATTTACCTTTATAAGTCATCCACACATAATAATTTATGGCGGTAATGGCACAATCAAGGGTAAATCTAGCTCGATTTGGGCAAATCTAGCTCAATTAAGGTTAAGGAGGGAACCAAGGTGGATAGCCAAATTATTAGGTCCGGACATCCACTAAAAATTTGCCACATGGACTACGCTTTCACTAAAAAAAAAGCGCAATCAAAAGCGCAGGTAAAACACAGGTAAAGCACAGTCAAAGTGCATCTAAAGCGTAGTTAAAGCACAGTCAAAGCACACAACCAAAGCGCAGTCCACGTGACAAGTTTTTATTGAATGTCCAGACTTATTTCTAGGTCAGGTGACCGGACCTAATAATTTGCCTGGTGGATATTCCCCACTCAATGGTGTCGATGGTGAGGCAAATTATTGCATCTGGTCACTGGACGTAGAGATAGATTCAGATATTAATAAAATATTATTTTAAATTAAACACATCAAAAGCACAGGTAAAACGCACGTCAAAGTGCAGTCAAAAGCACAGGTAAAGTGCAGTCAAAACACAACTAAAACGCAAGTTAAAAACATAGGTGATGTGACAAATTTTTATTAAATGTCCCAATCAATATTTTCACGTCCGGTGACTGGATGCCATAATTTGCCCGATGGTGATGTTTTAGAAATTAGAGAAGCTATTTATTTTTTCGTTCTCCAAGTTGTCCCCTTCTGCGACGTCCATTTGCCTCCGCACGCCTCCTCCGTCGCGCCAGCCACCGTTGGTCAGTTCTCCTTCATCATTCCTACCTTTGTCCTTCCAGCATATTTTTTTGTGCATTCTATAAGGACCATGGCAAATTATATTCTTTTGCCCTAGTCCAATGCTTATAACAATCTCGTCTTTTCGGGATGAAATATACCTCCATCTTGAGCTTTCTCAGCTGGGGATTTTGTCTCATTCCTTATTAGTTTCTACGATTGGGAGGGTAGGATGATGCTTCAAGGGTTTCTGTTTATCCGTTCGCTTATAATTGCTTGTGGTTTATCGGTATCACACGAGCCATGGCGGAGGCCCGGACAAAGTTCGCTTGATATCCCGCGGAATTTCGTTGGGGCTCTCTTCGGTTTTGAAATGAGCTGTTTGTACGCTTTATTAGCCTATTGTCTTGTTGATTCGTAGCGGTGCTTACCATTCTGTGCACTTTGTTTAAGATCCCATTTTTCGTTTATTATATCTTGGCGATCAATAATTTGTTTTCTCGATGTGTTGCTAGAACGCTTGTTTCAAATGCGTTGATGTCTATCTTGTTGGTTTATAAATTATACTCCAGGAATCAAGTATGCCATCACAACAATCCCTATTCCTGAATCTACCAAAGTGTGCATTTGCAACCTCCAAATTACATTTAGACCTGCAGAAAGTGGTTGCCATTGCTGACTGGCCAGCACCCCGTTCCTTCTTGGACAACCGAAGTTTTCATGCCCTCCCTAATTTTTACCGCAAATCAAAGGATTCAGTCTCATCATGGCTCCTATAACAAAATGCTTGAAATCTAAAGCCTTTCAATGGGGTGGTGAAGAGCAAGCCAGCTTTTGACGCTATCAAGAAGGCATTAAGCTCTACTCTAGTACTGGTGATTCCCAGTTTTGATAAGGTATTCAATGTGGATACCGACGTGTTTTCTATCGGCATTGGTGTGGTGTTATCTCAGGAAGGAAAACCTGTTGACTTTTTCAGCGAAAAACAGTCTCCGGCCAGGCAACGGTGGACAGTGTATGAACATGAATTTTATGCTATAATTTGAACACTAAAGCAATGGGAGTACTACTTGCTGAATTAGGATTTTATCATTTGTAGTGGTAATAAAGCACTCTAGTACATAAACCTCCAAAAAACTATTAATAGGATGCACGCCTGTTGGATAACATTTTTAGAAAAAAATCATTTGTCCTAAAGCACAAGTCTGATAGCCAGAACCGTGTAGCTGATGCTCTTAGTTGTAAGATGGTCCTTCTAACGCAACTCCAAACATAAATTACGGGGTTGGATTGCCTTAAGGAAATTTACAACACTATCCTAACTTCGGTGAAATTTGGAAACAGTGCCTCACAATGAGTCTGTTGCGAGTACTCCTTACGCATGGTTTTTTATTCCGCCATAATCTCCTATGTATCCCAATCTCATCTTATAGACAACATTTAATCCGCGAAGCACATGGTGGTGGTCTAGCTGCTCATACCGGCCACAATAAAACACTGCAGCTCCTCAGTTCATGCTTCTATTGGCCCCCGTCTACGCCGTGATGTCTTCAGGCTTGTCGATCGCTGCTCCATTTATCATAAATACAAGGGCAGATCTCAAAACACATAACTTTACATGCCATTGCTGATTCGAGATTCCATTTGGGAGGACCTCAGCCTCGATTTTGTTTTGGGTCTACTTCAAACCAAACATGGTAATGATTCGATCATTGTGGTCGTCGACCGGCTCTCCAAGATGGCACATTTCATATCTTGTAAGAAAACATCTAACACCCTTCACATTGCCAATATTTTCTTTCATCAAATTGTTCGATCACATGACTTGCCTCGGAGTCTAACATCTGATAGAGATGTGAAATTTATTAGCCACTTTTTGCATGAGCTTTGGAAGCGTTTGAACATTGGTTTGCGTTTAATCTCAACCTACCATCCCCAATCTGACGGCCAAACTGAAGTTGTTAACTGCACCTTAGGGAACATGCTCCGATGCCTAGTCCAAGAACATGCCAAGCAATGGGAAGATATGTTGAGCCAGGTTGAATTTGCCTATAATGCCATGGCGAACCATTCCACCGGTAAGTCCCCTTTTATTATTGTTTACACTAACTTACCTAACTTAGCATTGGATATTGTTGTGTTGCCCAAATGCGAGTCAGTGGCCGCTACCATGTTTACTAACCAGTATGCGCAAATGCTCGCAGAGGTTCGCCAACACTTGATTGACTCCAATCAATGCCACATTGCTTCTGCGGACGCGCACCGGGGACATAAACTATTTAATGTGGGCGACCTTGTTATGATCAGACTACATCGTGAACGTTTTCCTCCGGGCACCTACTCAAAACTCACATGCCGTAAAATTAGCCCAGTGCCTATTATTGCCAAGATAAATGACAATGCCTACACTGTTGCTTTACATACAATCTGTCACACGCCTCGTACGTTCAACGTCTTTGACATTTGGCCATTTCACCCTCCTAATGATGTTGCTTTTTATTAGCTCGTCGGAGTTGAGCTTCTCGGCTATCGGGGAGGACTGATACAGAGCTTGGAAGGGCAGAACACAATAAGGCGCATGACACATTACCAATCCCATGTTACCTATCACTATAGTAGTACTATTTCTATTATTATAGTACCATTGCTACTTTTTGTTTGTTATCATAGTAATAGCATTATCTAATATAATAGTAAATAGAACTATATATAGAGGGGGAAGAAGAGAACACAATATCATTTGAAAATACAAATACTGTTTTACAGAAACATTTCTTGTTGCTTGTCATTCTGCTATTCTCATTCCAGTGATTACATTATATTGGGGCAGGAGAATTGTGTCATAATATTAGTTGAAGTTCTGTGAGCCCTCATCTATCGAGAGAACTGTAATGAACCTCCATCAATATCTTAGTTTTTTTTTAATGGAGATGCTATTGTTAGAAAAATGCAGAATTTATAATAGATGAGGCCAATTCTATATAAAAGTTGTTGAATTTGCCTGGTTTTGTTCTGATATCCGACTAGAACTTCTGTGCTTTCATAAATGATTTTGTTTTAAGACATATGTGGTCAACTATGTTTGCGCTTGCCTTGTAAAATCTAATAAATTGCTGAATTGACTTTTATTGTGGTGATATTAGAGCTCTTTGAAAAATCTTTCGGGATAATGCATCTACCACTTTATATTTGAGAGTGTTATCAAAACCCAATAATTTCACGAAAAATAATTGTTATTCCGGCATCTAAATTACTTGTTGCATCAATTCAAGGTGCTTCATTGATATATTCTAATTATGAAATGCCTGTCTTAGATTATAAAAAATTGTTTATGTCGTTTCGTCTCCTGTTAGCTTGCACAACATCTAATTTAGTAGGATCCATCTCTGCACGTTCATCTAAGATAAAATAGCTGCTCAAATAATTATTTTTTGTCTGGGAAATTGTACATTTTGAAGGCTTAAGAAACAACGTAAGCTCTTTGAGTAAACTTAGTATCATACACAAATGATCTGTGTGAGCTTCCAGCGAGTTATTGTGTATAGTAATATCATGAAAAATGCTGGGGCAAACCATCTTTAAATAAGGTCGAAGAATATTATTTATCACAACACATCTTAAATATCAAAGCTCTATTCACTATTGCTCCCGGGCATCCTTTTGTTGTACCTGTTGCTTGCGAAGAAGTGCGTCTCTTTGCTCAACTTCTACAACGTGCATTCATTGGACTTTTAACATCACTGCGTTTAGTTGCAACTTATCCGTTAGATTTGTCTATTCTAGATTTCTTGTATTCCCCTCCATAGTTCTTGTCATTGCATAGTATTATTGGATTGCTTTGAAACAAGACCTTTGCCCTTTATTGTAGTGTCATTCTTACTTAAACTCTTTGATGTTAGAAGTAAACATTGATAGAGTTTAAGATTTAACTGTTTCTTTGTTCTTTTTTCAGTAAACCAGTAGATTTGTCTATCAACTTCTGAGTTTGGAAGTTCCCCATAGACTTAGTCGTTGCTTTGGTATTGCTTATAAGTGTTAAATTTTATAATAATATCTCAGCCTGTTTTTGATTTCGTCAAGATTTTATCAGTTAAATCATATCACGCATTAAAAAAAAAAAAAAAACTTGATTAAAATTGTTGGATTGATTAGTCCAGTCTTAATAATGTTAAGCTTTTAATCTTTCTGTGATTACCACCTAATCCCCATTTTTGTTTGTTACAACTACTGCGTTTACAGAACATATTCAATAATGCCACCAAGTTTATTCTATTCTTAGATCCAAAGCAGGTCTTGATGTTTTGGCTGTCCACAACATCATTGAAGGACATTCACAACTGATTTACTATATTATAAATTAATATATAATTTTCACAGTGAAGGACATTCACAACTGATTTACTAATTTAATATATGATTAAAAAACTTCATCTTTTGCTATGAAGTAGCGGTTGAGATATTTTGATCTAAATTTGATAAGGATGAATTTTAAAATCATCAAATTTATTTGAGATGATTAAAATATAAATTTTGATTGATAGATCATATAATACATTTATCTCAGAATAAATTTGATAGTTATAAAGTTCATCTTGATGAAATTCAGATGAAGATTATTCTCATCCAAAATTTCTCTTTTTATCACTGCAGGGACCTAAACATTTTGATGACGCTTGATTTCCTGAACTGAAATAACTTAGCCTTGCCTCCAATCAGAGAAGGATATAACTGGTTTGCATGCTCAAACATGAAATCATGCCTCGTCAATATTCCCACCACAGGCGACCTCTGCAACATTATAGAAGGTTACAAAATCTTCACTAGTTCCCAAATTCTTCTTCCTTTAAGCTAGAAAATGAAAATAAATTTGAAGAAAAATTACTTACACAAGGCAACTTCGGAATAACCAGCAGGTGTCTTAGACCAACTTCACGGAAAAGTATGTGAGCTTTTGCCAGTGACATAGACTCAACAACAGTATATGGTGAAGTATTTGTAAATGGATGCAAATCAATAAACATTTCCATCTCTTCAGCTGTGAAAACAATATCATATATTGTTTCATGCCTAACTGAGCCACGTTTAGCAAAGTCATCAGCTGATAACTGCTCAAACTCATTAACTTGAACAGAAAGGGGAGAAGGCAGAAAACACTTTTTTTTCAGCAGCACTAGAAGATGACTGCGACGAATTAGGCCATAGAGTACAGGAATCTCAGAAAATGGAGGTTCATCTATCACAGGAAATCCATTATGACCAGTTGTCTTCAAGATGTGAACTACATTACCAACTTTCTCCAAACCATTAAAGACATGTAAGGGACCTGTGACTACATCACCAACAGTAAGCTGTCTCATGTAAGGCTCTGCATGCCCTTGAAGGAAAGGAAATCCTTTCAGTTTGATAAGGGTGTCATAGATGCTAGTATTGAAACAGTCGGCCACAGTTTTTGATATGAGCACAACTAACATCACCAGAGGAAGCAAAAGGAGATTGTTTGTTAGTTCGAGAAGGATAACGCATATGGATACGGTCATTCTCATTGATCCACCTAGCAACGAGGCAGAACCAAGCACCGCAAAGAGGCCATGATCTAGAGATGATTTTGAGCCCATAAGCATTCCGATTAGGCGACCGTAAGTTGCACCGGTCAAGATAACAGGAATAAACAGACCAGCAGGAGCCACTATACCATAGCTCAAAATTCCTAGAAAATAAGAAGTAACAAAGAACAAAAGAATAGAATACTTGTTGAAGACCCTATCCGTACCAGCGCTGTACAGATTTTTTATTGTGTCATCATTGGTGTTGAAGAACAAGCTAGCTAGATCATTATAGTGATCAGGTGCACATTGAAACTTCTTGAAGTTTCCAGATCTTCCTATTGACGGGCAAGCTTCAGATATGCCACCAGGGCATGGTATACAGGATGCCAGCCATGGTAGACCAAATAGACAACAAGATGTAAAAATGGACACAGAAGCAGCAAGAAACAGCTTATATGCAGGACCTTTCCTGAAAAAAAGGAAGGGACTTACACCAATAGGGAAAAGCTTAAAAAATATTTTTGCAGTAATGAGGAGGGATGAAAAGAGCAAATCATACTCGTTAATGTGATTGTAAATTCGAAGAACCTTGCGCAAGAGAAAATTGTAAAAACTCCCTAGTATGCCACCGATGACTCCGAGAACAATCACTGGAGGTATGTCAGCTACATGATAGGCAACATTAGCTGCAGTTACATCAAACATTATAAGGCCTCCCTTTCCAAATAAGCCACACTTTCCACTTTTGCAGAAATCTATAAAGGCCCTAAGCACAACAGCAACTACAGCTGTTGTAAAAAATGCCCTCCAGAGAAGTGCAGATCTCCACCTATAAATATGAAGAGAAAGAATAAATAACAGCTATAAGTTCTGTATATAACAAGCTACTCAATAGAATGATGAAATGTAAAAGCTAACAACTTAAAATTATTGAAAGGCATCGTCTTCTTACCACAAAAAGACAGGTTAAATGAATCTTATTTATTCAAGATGTTACCTATCAATGATTTGTCATACTTCTAATAATAAATACCAAAAAGATCTTCTTCTTGAAGAAATGAAAGAATGAAATTATTCATTTAAATCAAGAAAACATTTAGCATGCGTTAGAAACACAAAAGGGTTCTTAATGGTTACTAAAAATTTAAGTTGCTTACCGTTAAAGAATCTTAAGGTCTCTCCTCTCTAAAGAAAAAAAACCTGAACAACATTATCCACTTTACAAATGAAAGCTACTAAGCTAGTATATCAAATGCAAATTGCCAAGTGTAAAATTTTGAATGCTGAAAAGCATAAAAAAAGGTAAAAAAGAATGTTTTTCAACAATAAAAGGAAAAGCAAATAAGCAATACACTATCAACAACAACAACAACAAGCCTTTATCCCACTATGTGGGGTCGGTTATATAAATCTTTTTTCTCTATTGTATCCTATTAATAGTCAAATTTTTATCTAAATCTAATAAAGAAAGGTCATTTATAATATTTTCTAACCAAGTTTTTTTAGGTCTACCTCTATCTTTTTTAATTTAAGTTAAATCTAATACATCTACTTTCCTAATCGGGTCATCGGAAGGTCGCCGTTTTATGTGACCAAATCATCCAAGGCGAATCTCTCTAATCTTATCTTCCACTGGAGCTACTCCAACCTTTTCACGTATACGCTCATTTTGTATCATGTCTCCACGAATAAAGCCACTCATCCACCTGAGCATCTTCATCTTTGCAACACTTAACTTAATATACTTCTCTTATAATGGCCAACATTGTGCACCATAAAGCATTGTAGGTCTCACTACCATCTTATAGAATTTTCCCTTAAATTTGAGAGGAAATTTTCTATCACACAAAAAGCTCGATGCATTCCTCCACTTCAACCAACCAACTTGGATTCTAATAATAATACCCCAATCTATTTCGCCATCACTCTGAACAATAGACCCAATATATCTAAAACGTGTACGACTTAATTGCTCAAAGTTACAATCCCCCACTAGATCTATTATTACTCAAATTACACTCCATATGTTCAATTTTAAATCTACTCAAACAAAAGTCTTTAGACTCTAAATTTGACCTTCATAATTAAAGTTTACCTTCAATTCCCTCTCTACTCTTATCAACAAGAAGTATCATCAGCAAAAAGCATACACCAGAGTACAACCCTTGCAAAGGTCTATTGAGAACATTCATGGCTAAAGCAAAAAGATATGGGCTTAAGATTGACCCTTTGATGTAATCCAATTGGAATAGGAAAATACTTGGTCAAATCACCTTGTGTTTGAACACAAGTAATATCTCATGCATACATATCCTTAAAGATTTGAATATAAGCATTATTAACCCCTTTCTTATGTAGAACTCTCTATAGCAGTTCTCTTGGAACTATATCCTCTACTTTCTCTAAATCAATAAAAAATATATGAAGATCCTCCTTATTCTATCTACACTTCTCCACCAAACCTCACAATAAATGTATATCTTCCATAATAGACCTACCTGACATGAATCCAAATTAATTTTGAGAAACATTAGTCTCACGCTGCAACCTATGCTCCATAACTCTCTCCCATAGTTTTAAAGTATAACACATTAACTTAATACCTCTATAATTAGCATAATCTACTAAAGTCAATTGCATTATCACAATCTTCATTGAAAAATTTAGCAAAATATCTCATTTATTTTTGTTGAATATCCTCTTCTAATAAAAGTACTTTTTGATCTTCATCCATAATACAGTTCACTTGAACAAAATCCTTAGTACTTATATATCTTTATTTAGCTAACTTATATATATATATATATATATATCTTTCACCCTCATTAGAATATGATCTATTATATAAATAATTAAAAGTTAAAATCTTTGCATTGCATATTGCTTTTTTTAACTCATTATAGGTCTCTTTATGTATTTCCCAATTATCAAAATTTTTACAGCTAAACCAAATTTTATAAAAAATCTTCTTATTTTTTTAATCTTTTCTTATATATTTTGATTCCACAACCAATTATTTTTATTATTAATAGTTTTTTCCTCTCATATTCCAAGTACATCTTTTGCAACATTCTTAATATCACTAACTATTTTTTTTCATATAATATTAGCTCCCTCATGCAAAGATAAAATCTAGAATCTTACTCACAAAAATATTTTTATTAATACTCTTTAAATGCACTCATCTAATCCTAGAACAATCATTTATTTAATTTTTTATTTTCTACCCCTTCATCTTAAAATACAACTAATAAGTGATGTTAGGTACATAAACTTTCACTCAGAATAACTTTACAATTTTTATAATTTAAATGCTTTATTTTTCTTATAAAAAAATAATCAATCTGAATGTTCTTATATCTATTTTTATAAATGATAAGATGCTTATCTCTTTTCTTAAATAAATTATTAACAATTATAAAATCACAGGCTAAAGAAAAATCAAATATGATCTTACCACCTTTATTAGTCGCTCTAAAGCCATAGCTATCAAAAATGCTTTTAAAATCATTTACCTCTATATTAATATGTCTATTTAAATCTCCTTCAATTAGAACTCTTTCTTTAAGAGGAATATTTTGTATTAATTCTTCTAAGGTCATTCAAAAATTTTATTTTAAATACATATCCAAACGTACTTGAGGAACATAAGCGCTTATAATATTAATAATCTTAGCATCAATACAATATTTAAAACTATAATTTTATCTCAAATTCTATTAATTTTTACAATATTATCCTTCTAACTCTTATCTATAATTACAGTTACACAATTTTTAGTACAACTCCTACTAGAATATCATTGTTTAAATCATAAACTATCAATCTGCTTAGCATTCTCTCTAACCCATTTAATTTTCAGAATGCATAAAATATTTCTCTTCCTATAAATCATAATATTTATTAATTCCATTAATTTGCTTGTAAGCAAACCAATATTCCAAGTACTTATCCTAATTTTAGTTTCATGGACTAATTTCTTTGCCCACATCCGTCCATAGTGTGAGAAATCTTGCCTATTTAACTTCACCCGGACGCTGATGCAACATCCCTTGCACACTTGTCACTGTATTTAAGTCATACAATGCGTCGCTTCCAAGGAACGCCCTAGAAATCAACACACCATCATATACTTAAATTTAATTATCACAATTTTGGTGCCCGTTTTTTGAGAGGTAGAGAAAGGCTAGACCAATATAAGGAGAAATTATTAGGTGTGGATGGGGCGTGGAAATATGTGGACATCAAATCAAAGCATTAAACATCCTTGTGTACAATATTCCTATTGTCTATCCACATGTGCATTATCCTCACCTAATACTTTCTTTGATGTAGTCGCATCTCACCTTGGTCTGTTGGTTGAAATCTTGGCTACCAATTAAGAGGTTTTGGGTTTGAGTTTTATGATGTGTGCAAGTTTGTCTTAATTTGTCTAAACGTCCCACCAAAAAAAAAATCTTTCATTTAGAAGCTAAGGTTACCAGGAAAATGAGCATAATAAAAGGTGCAAGAACAAAAAAAAAAAAGAAAAAAAAGAAAGAATGAACAAAATACAATAATAATAGTCAAGATAATGTTTACCATGATGCTAATGATTCAAGAACAAAGATCACTCCACCAATTGGCGCACGGAAGGCAGCAGCAATCCCAGCTGCAGCTCCACATGTTACTAGATCTCTCCTGTCCCTATCATTCTTGAAGTACCTAAGCCACCGGCATGTCAAGCCGTATTTGCGAGATCCTCCCTGCCCCAACAAAGAAGCAATGCAGGCTGTTGTATGCATCATCGGACCTGCCTTACCCACATGGAGTGAAGCTGATACGGCATTGATGATTCCAACTATCTGCATTGCAAATATTTTTCCACTTGTTTACAGAAACCGATTCACTCATTCATGCAAAGAGAAGGAAGTATCAATGATAGTAAGATAATACATTTCATCTGGAAAAGAGATGAACATCCATCAAAGTAAGCCAATATGAAGTGGAAGAACTAAAAGGTTCACCTTGACAAGAAGAGTTCTGAAAGAGAATATCTCAGGCGCATCAATGCCATTCAAATAAGCCTTCACTTCCGGTATCCCAGATCCGGCCGCCGCCGGAGCGATGTAAGCGGTGATGACCGCAGCAAACATCGTCAGCACTAAATTAGAAGATGCAAATACCCCAAACGCCCACATGTACCTACCACATCCATCGAATCGAACCAGTCAAACAAGAAATTAAAAAAAAAGTTTTTTTTTTTTCGCGGTTTAACTGAAGGAAATCGGCCGTCCACCTACTTGTTGGCAAGCATCATGTTGGAGGTGACGACGAACTTGATGCCGGCGATGTTCTCGATAGCAATGTTGTTGAAGAACCCGACGCAGCCGGACAACATGCCGACTAGGAAGCAAAGAGTCCATTTAAGGAGCACGTACTCGAAGACATTGGCCCGCCCCCCGCGCGCCCGCCAATCCTGGCTGAGAAGCTCGTTCTCCACGATCCTGCAACGCCAGCCCGCTGCCCAATTCATCGAATGCGAAGAGGATGGAATAAAAAAAGGAAGAAATCACAGGCGGGGAGAAAGGGAAAATGATACTCGTAGTCGAGGCTTTCTATGGCGGAGACGCTGGAGCCGACCAGAGCAAGCTGAGAGGAAGACTTGGAGGTCGCACGGAGGAGTTCGAATCGGCGATGCTCGATGAGGAGGGGCTCTTCCTCTCCTGCGGCGTTCCTGATCGCCATGGGCTGCGCCGGCGCAGAAGAGGTGGGATCGGAGATTCGGAGAATCTCGCCCAAGATTCCTCTTTTTATTCTTCCTACTGGAATCAAGTAAAGTGGATGCGGAGCGAAGAACTTGAGCGCAAAAAGCCTTCCAAGATCTCGCCTTTGCCTTTTGAGGGAGAAAACAGAGAGGGGAAGGGGAAGGGGAAGGGGAAGGCGAAGAAGAAGACGACTTAGACGAGCACAGCAGCAACCGGACGATTCTCTGCCCTTTAATACAGGAGACTACGGATCACAATCATAGTGAATCATTTGACTCATAAGGAAGGAGAGGGCGGTAAATGTGTAATTTAGAGGGATTTCTAGCGCATTTTTTATAACCAGTATAATTGCACGTGCCATGTCAATAAAATTTAAATAGTAAATATTATTTAATTAAATTAAATCTTATTATGAAGATATCAAATAAATAAATTTATAATTACAAGAAATAGAAGCGACAATTATATCCCAATTTATAGGACAAATGGGTTTAAGATTTTAATAAAATAACAATAATTAAAATTTAGTAATATATGATACCAAATTTATCATAATTAAAAAAACAATTGGCCAAAAGATTAATAGAGAATAAAATATAATCAAAATAATAAAATTACTACGTAGTTAAATCATTTTTTTAATAGTTAGACACCTATGTCTGCCAAAAATATAGCAAAATTTCAAAATTAATCATGTTATTCAATAAACTATAGCAAAATTTCAAAAGAAAAAAATAAGGATGCCCACCTATGCCTTCAAACTATTGTCCCTCCGACCACTGTTGTCAGACTATAGTCCTTTTGATCACTATCATTCGACTATGATCTTTTCGACCCCCCTCACCCGTCGACTACGATCCTTTTGATCATTGTTGCCCAACTGCGGTTCTTCCGACCACTGTTGTCCGTCTACGATCCTTCAAATTATGTCGCCCAAACATAGTCCTATCAACCAAATGAATACATTACTCTCTTGAGAACAGCTTTCATCCCCAATCATATAAAGTACTCTATATGATGTATATTTGTTACATTGAGCTAACAACTTTTGATGAGGAATGATATTATTCATAATCAACTACAAATACTAATGGATTTATTCAAACTAGGTAAGACCTTATGGTTTTTCTACCTTTTTAGGGGTTTCGATATAAAATTAATTGTCTCTTTGTAAAAACTGCACCCCTTTCTATTATATATTTGTGTGTTGGATCTTCATACAAAATTATGATGCTAAATTCTCTATCTCTCTACTGCTATGAATTTTTGAGGACGCAACAGTTTGACACTATATATGGAAACTATTCATAACTGGGGCAGCCTTTGGTTAACCTTAAAAGGTCGTTCACGTCAATGCACTAGACATGATTGAAGCAAGATAGTCCCTTTGCCATAATAACACTAATTTACATATTTTATTTGATCAAATAATACTAATTTACATAATTATTAGCAAAAAATTGTAATTTATTATTTGAATGTAAAAAAAAAAATATTTGAAATGTTATTTTTTATATATGAAAGATAAATATATAAATAATAAATCAAATATTCACTTGTAACTATTGAGAAAAATTTTAGAAACTTTATGTTAAATATTAAAACCTGTGCCTACAAATTATTAAGAAATTTCATTCTAAAATAAAATTATATTAAATACTTTTTATAAAACAACAACAACAACAACAACAACATCAAGCCTTTATCCCACTACGTGGGGTCGGCTACATGAATCCTTTTTCTCCATTGTGTCCTATTAAAAGCTAAATTCTCGTTTAAATCTAATAAAGAAAGGTCATTACTAA